TAGTTCTTAGAAAACTATTTCTTGATTTAAGTCGTTGACGTGCTTGCTGATACTCAAACAGGGGATGAGCTGGAGATGTCTCTGCCTCGGTCCTTTCACTATTGGCTGCTACTTCCCAGGAGATGTCAGATGGTGCAATACCGGCTAAGTCGGGTCCACAATTTTTTTAAACAGAGGGCCAGGTCACAGTCCCTCAAACTGTTGGAGGGCTGGATTATAATTTGAAAAAAACAAATGAATTCCTATGCACACTGCACATATTTTATTTGTAGTGTAAAAACCACTTTAAAATAATACAATAATTAAAATGAAGAACAATTTTAACAAATATAAATTTATTGGTATTTCAAAGGGAAGTGTGTGCCTGTTTTTGGCTGATGAGATAGGATTGTTGTTGTTGTTGTTGTTGTTGTTGTGTATTTTCAAGTTGTTGCAGACTTAGGTTGACCCTAAGCAAGGGCCGGGTAAATGACCTTGGAGGGCCGCATTTGGCCCCCGGGCCTTAGTTTGAGGACCCCTGTGCTAACCAGTGTAATTTCTCCAGTGGTGTAGGGCGCAGACACCCCGTAATAATGCGGCATGTCTCATTAAGAGCCACATCCACAGTTTTAGTGTGGTGAGATGTGTTCCACACTGGGCATGCGTACTCAGCAGCAGAGTAGCATAGCGCAAGAGCAGATGTCTTCACTGTGTCTGGTTGTGATCCCCAGGTTATGCCAGTCAGCTTTCGTATGATATTGTTTCTAGCGCCCACTTTTTGCTTGATATTCAGGCAGTGCTTCTTGTAGGTCAGAGCATGGTCCACAGTGACTCCCAGGTATTTGGGTGCGCTGCAATGCTCCAGTGGAATTCCTTCCCAGGTAATCCTCAGAGCAGGACGGCTAGTGTAATATAAAATATATAATTATAATATCAGTAGCAAAATCACAGTTATGAAGTAGCAACGAAAATAAGTTTATGGGGTTTTTTTTGTCGTGTCAGGAGTCACCTGAGAAACTGCAAGTCGCTTCTGGTGTGAGAGAATTGGCCGTCTGCAAGGACGTTGCCCAGGGGACGCTCGGATGATTTGATGTTTTTATCATCCTTGTACGCTTATTTCTTGGGAGGAGAGCAATGTCCAATCTCGATAAAATAGTAAAGAGTAGAGACATCACACTGGCAACAAAGATCCGCATAGTCAAAGCCATGGTATTCCCTGTAGTAACCTACGGATGTGAGAGCTGGACTTTAGGGAAGGCTGAGCGAAGGAAGATAGATGCTTTTGAACTGTGGTGTTGGAGAAATCCTGAGAGTGCCTTGTACCACGAGAAGATCCATCCTCCAGGAAATAAAGCCCGACTACTCATTGGAGGGAAGGATATAGAGACAAAGTTGAAGTACTTTGGCCACATCATGAGGAGACAGGAAAGCCTAGAGAAGACAATTATGCTGGGGAAAGTGGAAGGAAAAAGGAGAGGGGCCGACCAAGGGCAAGATGGATGGATGGCATCCTTGAAGTGACTGGCTTGACCTTGAAGGAGCTGGGGGTGGTGACGGCCGACAGGGAGCTCTGGCGTGGGCTGGTCCATGAGGTCACGAAGAGTCGGAGACGACTGAACGAATGAACAATTATTTATTATTTATTTATTTCGAGGTTTTATATACCGATCCTCTCACCTTCAAAGAGGGATTTGGACCGGTTCACAACATGTGTTAACATACAAAAAATATACAATAACAACACAATGCCACTTCATTACACGATTAAAATATCAGCACCATACACATTAAAACATTTATCATCCCAGTTAAAAGAGCCAAATCGTCCGACACCATCACAATCCCATTCATCCTCCTCCTTTCATGTGGGCAAATAATTAAATCAGTTGTCAAATGCCGTGTTCCACAACCAGGTCTTTGTTAGTTTCCTGAATGTCATGAGGGAGGGGGCAGTTCTGATCTCTAATGGCAGGGAGTTCCAAAGTTGAGGCCCACCATCAAGAATCATAGAATCAAAGAGTTGGAAGAGACCTCATGGGCCATCCAGTCTAACTCCCTGCCAAGAAGCAGGAATATTGCATTCAAATCACCCCTGACAGATGGCCATCCAGCCTCTGTTTAAAAGCTTCCAAAGAAGGAGCCTCCACCACACTCCGGGGCAGAGAGTTCCACTGCTGAACGGCTCTCACAGTCAGGAAGTTCTTCCTCATGTTCAGATGGAATCTCCTCTCTTGTAGTTTGAAGCCATTGTTCCGTGTCCTAGTCTCCAGGAAGCAGAAAACAATCTTGCTCCCTCCTCCCTGTGGCTTCCTCTCACATATTTATACATGGCTATCATATCTCCTCTCAGCCTTCTCTTCTTCAGGCTAAACATGCCCAGTTCCCTAAGCCGCTCCTCATAGGGCTTGTTCTCCAGACCCTTGATCATTTTAGTCGCCCTCCTCCTGACACATTCCAGCTTGTCAATATCTCTCTTGAATTGTGGTGCCCAGAATTGGACACAATATTCCAGGTGTGGTCTAACCAAAGCAGAATAGAGGGGTAGCATGACTTCCCTAGATCTAGACACTATGCTACTATTGATGCAGGCCAAAATCCCATTGGCTTTTTTTGCCGCCACATCACATTGTTGGCTCATGTTTAACTTGTTGTCCACAAGGACTCCAACTTTTTCACACGTACTGTTCTCAAGCCAGGTGTCCCCCATTCTGTATCTTTGCATTTCGTTTTTCCTGCCTAAGTGGAGTATCTTGCATTTGTCCCTGTTGAACTTCATTTTGTTAGTTTTGGCCCATCTCTCTAATCTGTCAAAATCGTTTTGAATTCTGCTCCTGTCCTCTGGACTATTGGCTATCCCTCCCAAGAAGGCCCTGTCCATCGTCCCCCCAGCCGTGTTTGTGCAGGCGGAGAGACCGAGAGCAGGGCCCCTCCAGACGATCTTAGTGGTCTTGATGGTTCGTAGGGGAGAATAGGTTCGGAGAGGTAAACAGGGCCGGAGTCGTTTAGGGTTGACACTGACCCAAGAAGCACTGCCTGAACATCAAACAAAAAGTGGGTGCTAGAAACAACATCATATGAAAGCTGACTGGCACAACCTGGGGATCACAACCAGACACAGTGAAGACATCTGCCCTTGCGCTATGCTACTCTGCTGCTGAGTATGCATGCCCAGTGTGGAACACATCTCATCACACTAAAACAGTGGATGTGGCTCTTAATGAGACATGCCGCATTATCACGGGGTGCCTGCGCCCTACACCACTGGAGAAATTACACTGCTTAGCCGGTATCGCACCACCTGACATCCGCCGGGAAGTAGCAGCCAAGAGTGAAAGGACCAAGGCAGAGACATCTCCAGCTCATCCCCTGTTTGGGTATCAGCCAGCACGTCAACGACTTAAATCAAGACATAGTTTTCTTAGATCTACAGAGACACTCGCTGGAACACCCCAGCAAGCGAGAGTCCAAAAGTGGCAGGCCCAAACCCAGCACCTCAATTCATGGGTGATACCAGATGAGAGACTCCCCCCTGGGCACTCAGAAGACTGGGCGACTTGGAGGGCGCTGAACAGATTGCGCTCTGGCACCACGAGATGCAGAGCCAATCTTAAGAAATTGGGCTACAGGGTGGAATCCTCGGCATGCGAGTGCGGAGAAGAACAAACCACTGACCACCTGCTGCAATGCACCCTGAGCCCTGCCACATGCACGATGGAGGACCTTCTTGCGGCAACCCCAGAGGCACTCCAAGTGGCCAGATACTGGTCAAAGGACATTTAACCAAATACCAAATTTACAAAATCTGTGTGGGTTTTTTTTCTTTCTTTTTTCTTTTTCTTTTTAATCTCTGTGTTTGTTTTGCTCTGTTAGAATTGTAATACAATGGTTGCTGATGACACGATAAATAAAAATAACTGACCCAATAATGCATTATGAGAATCTACACAGACTATATAATACATTCTAGGAGTAATACCGACCGTGTAATGCATTCTAGGAGTCTACACTCACCCTACAATGCAGTTTGAAACTGCATTGTAGAGCAGTGTAGAGCCCCCCCCCCTTCTGAAAACATTCCAAACAGCCTGCCACTTGTGGCGCGTGGAGAGCCTGTTCCCACCTCTGCCTGTCAAGCGGTCGCGAGCCCCCCTCCCTCCTCCCGCTTATCATTCGCTCTGAATGGGCGCCGTCACGCGCGCGACGTGAGGCGTGGGCTGCTTCCCTCTCCCCCCCCCCCCCGCCGCGCGCGTAGACGGTGTCCCCACGTAACCCTCGTCTCAGAGCGAGTGAAGGGGGGGCGGAGGGGGGGAGAGTGAGAAAAAAATCTTTCTGAGGCGCAGCCTTTTCCCTTATAGAGTCAAAAGGCACTTCTGCGTGTGGGGAGAGAGAGTGAGGCCTGGAAGGCTGAGGGGCGCGGAGCAGAGGCCGAGCCCACAGAGGCGCCCCTTTGTTTGGGGAAAAGGGCTGGGCGGACTTCATTAGGTTGTCGAAGCGAGGGAGAGTAATCCCGGCGCTCCCATTGGCTGAGCCCTTTCTGGAGGCCTTTCCGTGCCTGAGGCGCCTGGGAGGAGGGAGGGAGGGAGGAGAGAGAGAGAGGGAGGGCGGGCTTGGGGGAGGCATGCCCGGCACGTCCCCAGCGCTGGCAGGCGAGGCGTCTGGCCCTTGCGCCGCCTTGTAAGAGAACAGGCGACCCCCCTCCCCATGGCCGCAGCCCCCCGAAAGCGGCGCCCCTGCGGAGGCTCCTTCTGCAGGAGGAAGCAAGATGGCTACCGCGTGGCTCTGGCCGCCCAGGATGTAGCCCAGCCGCGCTAGGCGCCCTCTCCGCGCCTGAGGAGAGGAGAGAGAGGAGGGGCGGGGGCGGCACAGCAGGACAAACGGTGGGTGCCCCCCTCCCCCCTCATCCTTCCCTTCAAAGTTCTGCCCTCTGTCCCTCCCCAATGGGGTATTTTAAACTAGTCTCTTTAAAAATAAATAATATTAAAAGACTCACCCTCTGCCCTTTCTTTGGTGTCTCCCTCTAGGTGCTCACTGACAACAAAAGGCCTCAGAAGAGGAAGGAGGAAAGAGTTTCGAAGGTAATCTTTCCATTGGTTGTGAACCATATCTACAGATTTGCATCCTTTTTTCGTGTGGGTTTTGTTTGTTTGTTTTAGTCGTGCCAGGAGCGACTTGAGAAACTGCAAGTCGCTTCTGGTGTGAGAGAATTGGCCATCTGCAAGGACGTTGCCCAAGCGACGCCCGGATGCTTTGATGTTTTATCATCCTTGTGGGAGGCTTCTCTCATGTCTCCGCACGAGGAGCTGGAACTGATAGAAGTAGCTCATCTGCGCTCTCCCCGGATTCGAACCTGCAACCTGTCAGTCTTCAGTCCTGCCGGCACAGGGGTTTAACCCACTGTGCCACCGGGGGCTCCACTCACCCAGGGTGAGACCTCACTTCTCCTCATAAGCTGGTTGACAGGTCTTTTATGAAGGCTGCTGATCCAAAGCACAGTTTGCATTCGGTGACAGTTGCGTCTGAGGAAATATTTGCCCTGGAAGGGACAGATTTCGTTCCCAGCTTGATGCGGGACTTGCGACTTATGTATGCCTGAAAGATGTGACTGTTTGTATGTATTTCATGTTCACTGTTTCCCTCTCTCCCACATCAATTGCTGTGAGTTCGGGGAAAATGACACATTTCAGAAGAATGAGGCTTGAAATGGGGTAGTTGTTTCGAAATGATGTGTCCCCTCTTAATATATTCTTGTTCAACTATATATGTGTTAGCGTGTGTGTATATATATATATATGTTTGTAAACACACCGGAATGTCAGGCGTGGTTTGAGGAGCTGGTTGCTTTGCGGTGGCCAAAGTGTCAGGCGGCAGGAAACCCTCTTGTGCCCCCATTCAGTTTTTCTCATACAAGTGTCCCTTTATAAATGGCAGCCCTGTTCTCTTCCTTCCCTGAGTCAGGGAATTCCTGGGCACGTGCAGAGGAGGAAATCCCTGTTTACAAAGGGGAATCCCCATTCCATAGCAGGGAACCCAGGCCCCTCCCACAGGAGCCTTGCGCCATGTGTCATTGGAGCTTCCCAGAACTCTGGGTCTGAGCTGTTTGCTGCCAGGGTTCCTGATGGACAGTGGGCACTCCTTGGCATATTTACATTGGAGTGCTAGCCGTGGCATAATACGTAGCATGGTGAAGTTCTGGCGCTACTTGGTAGCTGAGTTGGGGCACTACGTTTTACATCCTTGGAAACTCTTGTGCGTGTCGTTGTTTTGTGGCGAGGCTTACTTGGCGTGGAATAGTGAGCGTTGTTATGCTGACCATCCTGTTTGCACCTCCTCGCTTAATAAAGGAATGTATCATTAGGCAGAACACCACAGAAGATAAGTATTTATAAAAAAATGAATGTCTTCTTTAAACGTTACGGTTACGTGTTCAGAAAATTAAATATTCTTTAAGTCTTTAAACATGGTGGGAATTAAGCTGCTAGCCTGTATGCATTTAATAAACCATAATAAAATTTATGAGTAAAACTCAGAGGATTGCTGTTGAATGTTTTACTGCTGATTTTACATTGAGTACCGTGATGTGTACTGAGGTCCGTGCTACGTTTTTCCATGGAGCCATACTTGGTTTTTTATACATGCAATACTCAACCACATTTCCTTCCAAGTGTGAGCATTTTAAGTTCTTGCTGTTGAATTTTGTATACCTGGTTGATTTTTATATTTCTTGAAATAATGTAAATTTTGTGGAGCTGGATTTTTTGAGATTAGATGTTTACTTGGAAGCATTCCAGCAAATCTGTTTGCAACAATATTGTTTAATGCATTAGCACTTAAGAATACTCGTTTTGCTGTCTTGCAAGAAATGATAACATTGGCCAACACACATTTTGGTGCCTCAAATGTTAGCCCTGTTTCTGGATATATTTGACCTGCTGATTCCAAAAATGGCACCAATATTCCCCTATCAGCTCTAGTTTTTGGGATACAGAACATATGCCATCTACCAGTCGTCATCTGGTTGCTCACAGAAAATCATGACAACCAAATCTAAGAAATTAGAGCTGATGCAGTCTATCCAATGCAATTTTCTGAATCAACCGTCCAAATAACCCCAGGAACAGGCTTAAAAACTAAGACATTAATAAAAACATTTTTGTTGCACTGTGTAATTGAAGGAAATTAGACCAAGATACAACTGAAAGACCATTTGGTCACCCTCTATTAGGATGTTGTCCTGCACACTGCTCATTCAGCTCTACTGTGCTATGGTCCTCCTCTTGCTAATTTTTTGTGTTACTGCTATGTTACTGCAAACAGCAAATGAACTAAAATGCATGAGGCTTACAAAGGAACACTTTACAGTGTCTTGTGCCTGTTCATTTCTTTTATTGATTGGACACACTTGGACAGCTTTTATTGTGTGGGATGGGTGTAGTCTTTGCATACATGAATTGGTAGGATAGAAAAAAGGTTGTAAATAGCAGGGTATAGCTGAAGGTTGTTTTAAGTTATATTGACTGCATAACTTGTGGGTTGCTGTTAAGTTTGGTGTTTTTTAGCGTTCTTAGTTATTAGTATGTGTGGATAGCACCATTGCATTGAATCTTAATTAATTTTTCATGACTACATTTTGCTTGTTTGTCTTGTTTTGAGACACAAGCATAATTTTTCTCTTTACCATACAGATACAGAACCAGGATTACATCTGGTGGGGCTATATTACATCTTCGTTTTTGATGTAGCTTGAACACTCAAGTAGTGTGAAAAAACAGTTTTTCTTTCTCCTTTTGTTCTGGAACTCTGTGAAGTCCCAGTCTGCCCACTGCAAATATGAGGCAAGGTGTCACTTCGCAGGCACTCCTGGACATAATTTGCAAAGTTACTTTTAACACAATTGAATGTAATGGCATGTTGAAGCCATCTATAACTGAGAGGATTGTAGGATTGATGCTTCACAGCTCTGAGATGCCACAAACCATTGGATTTGCACTGGGTTGAAAGTGGCAATTGTGTTTCTTGTAGCTTATTGTGTGCCATTTTGTATCCATGACAATTTACTGTATTTCAGTTACCTAGGTGCAGCTTTGCCATTTTTCATTGTACCCTAGTCCTCAACCTTTAGTTCATAACTGTTTGGGATTTTAATTCCCAGAGGTCCCAGCTAGGATACTGTTCAGAGGTTCTAAAAAGTCTTATCCCAGGTACCTTGAAAATTAGGGTACTGGTATAAGATATTCCCTCCCATTGCAATCTAGATTCAATTGAAGTAGATTGGCTATGGGAGATGAGAAGGAAGTATCTGAGATTGGATCTACTCCCTCTTGGTTGAAGTGTTGTTGGTAGACTTTTGTGAAGAACCTTTGCACCTTTCTTTGGTCTTATAATGTTTTTCTATAACTATGGGCCTAAAACTTCGCTATGTGAGCTAGAGATGGTACAGATCAGGCTTTTAGAACATTCAGAATTTTTACAATGTTGATGTGTTTTAATTATTCTGTAACCTGCCTCAAGCCATGAGGAGAGGCAGGTAATAAATAAAAGAATGATGATAATGTGTGCAAGTACCAGCATATTCAGTAGGGAGCAAGGTCCCCATTAAACTCATAGGGATTTATTCCTGAGGACACTGGCAGAGATGTGTGCTGTCTTCATATCTGCACACTTATTTAAACTGATTAAGTAAGACTAAATATGTATTGTTTAGAACAATAATCTGAATGCCCTTTCCTTCATTAAGGACAAAGTTGAACGTGTTGAACTCCAATAGAAAATGAATCTGCTATTTTTGGCCACATTGATATTTGTAGGATTTAGACAAGGGACACACCTAATTTGTTGTGGACTCGTTTCCTGTGATTTAGGACTAGGCATCTTTTATTACCCCACCACCACTTTATCCAAGAACAGTACAATGAAAAATATTTTTACTGATGTGCATTTACCATTCATCCTATTCCTGTCTGTTTCATCTACAGTTTTTGTCCTTATGTTGCACTTTCCCCTGTCCTAAACTGAAGGCCTAACCCCACTGTTTGCCCTTTTGGGCTCCTCTCAAATACACTTTTTCTACTCCTACCTCATCCAGGGCTCAGGGAGATGGTGGCAGGGTATAAATAAAGATGATGATGATTATTATTATTATTATTTATATCTCAGTAAAAATATTTTTCATTATACTTTTCTTAACATTTTAAAGGTGACTATCTTAACATATAGTGTTGTGGGTTTGCGTTTAGCCTTACACATTTCTTAATTCAGTTTTTAAGACTGATTTTTTTTGAAACCATAGATACTGTATATAATAATGTTTTTTTACCTAGGACAGATTTTTAAAATACTTATTAAAAGATAATGAAGTAGCTTCTTAAATACACTCTAACCTTTTAGAGCAGGCATGGGCAAACTTTCTAATTTGGAGTCGCATGGCTTTTTATAGGGATAATAGAGGAAAAGTAAAAAGAAATGGTATAATAATTTAAACAACCCCCTTTTAAAAATATTTTGGAGATTTGGGGGAGATATAAAAAAACCCTAATGCCAGGTATTTCTCCTATCATGCCAGTTTTAATGACAGAAAACTTTCCAGAAAAATTGAAAAAAGAACTTGAAATAGAACTTAATGGAAGTTGCTAACCCTTGAATTATAGGATCAAAGATATTTGATCATATAAAGGAGAGAATATGCAGCCCATTGTGGAGCAAACCTTGAGTAAGTGAAGAATGTCTTTGAGTTGGCAAAAGGCTATTCCATCTTGATTATTCTCTTTGTAGTAAATGGAATATCCAAACAAAGGGGGGGGCACATCTGTTCAGTTATAAAAAGGAGCAGGGTTGTTTTGATTTAAATTGGGATTTAAAATCGCTTGCTTGAAAGACTTGGTTTTAATTATTTAAAATACAATTTAAATTACTAGTGAGAAAGTTTGTATTTAATCATCCTTCTTAGTAAAGGCATGTTCTTGTTTAACAAACATAAGACATATTACAAGATGCAGGTTTTCATTAGAAGGTCAGTGAACACTAATCTATTACTCCAAATTTGTAAAAAAATGAGAGTTCTTTATTTTATCTACATAAC